TGGCATAACTGTAAACGCACCATGAAAGCTAGCAAGATGGGCCAGCAGGGAATCACTCAGAGAAGAATATAAGAGATTATTATTGTCATTTTAAGACTGAAAGATGTGGATAAGTACAAGAATCATGAGCACTTTAGTGAGGCTGTTTTCTTAGGAGGGAGGCTTTGATAGATATGTTTGATGTTATTTATTTACAGTTTCAAAGAAGATACCTCCTCCATTTTTAGAAAAAGAAAGTAAAATAAAGCATAAAAGTGTAGAAACAGCACAAAGTAGAGAAGGAGGTTAGAGTTTAGTCAGACGTTTATTATCAGTATCATTATAAAGAGGAAGACAGAAGAAATACATAGAGTGTTAATAAGCACAAGTACAGTATATTAGAGAAAGATTTCTTGCAGTATTCAAAAGTTTTACAGATAACAGTCAGAGAGAAAATAAAAGGAAGTTAGAAAAAGGAATGTCAAATAACAGACAATAGGATTTAGTATACACTACAGTCACTGTACACGCAAACCACACTGTACAACATGTAATCGTTCATTGGCTTAATGGAAATGATTGTTAGTCAGTCACATCTTTCATATGAAGACTATGAATTTGGTTGTGAAATACTGCACAAAATAAGAAAAGGCTGCATTAAAAAAGTGCTTTTGTAGTTTTTTTTTTTTTTATGAGAGAAGAGAAAATGAGGGAGCTGCGCTTCTCATCCCTGCAAAAATAGTCATGCTTGGCAGAAATGAACTAGAGACTGTGCAAAAAATATGAATGTGCTTTAGGAAACTATATTCTCCACTCTGAGCAAAAGGTTATAAGAAATGTTGCTGAAGTCAAATAAAAAAGCTGGATTCCAATGCTTTGTAGTTTGACTAATAGCAAACTTTGTCAACCAAAAAAAAAAAGGTAAATAAACCCTAAAAATCAAATTTTTTCTAATGTCACTAAACAACCTCATTGGAAAAACAACATTTTTTCAAAAGTTAGAGTTAGATACATAGCACACCCGGAAGCTTTGAAACATTAGCTTGGCTATGCTAACTTCATTTAGCTAACTTTCCTGTTGTGACAGCTTATTAAAAACATAATAGAAAACAAAAAATAAAAAAATACATTTTAGTGGGAAGTATTTACTATATTTTGTAAGCAGTGAAGTCAATTTAATATTTTCAGGCAGTTTTTCCAGTTTTTTTTAACTTATGCTAAAATTTGTGCTAAAGCATCGAAGAGCGTTAGCAAAACAGGTGGTAAAAAATCCCTTTATATTTTGGTCCACCTATAAATCAGATGATCATAATAATATAGGATAAATATTTCTGAAAGTATCAATCAAATATTTGAAAAAAAAACTTACATTTTATTGCTTTAATATGTTAAATAATAAACACCATATCCCCATTTTACCGTATCACATATTAGCTGCAATAAGTACCAAGTAAAAAAGTTGGAAAATGCTTTGAGGGCAAATGATCAATGGTAACATACCGGTACTTTATTAGATTAGTAGCTGGAAAATAATTTATATTTTTAAGATAATAAAATAATTTTTTTTTTAGAATAATTAATTTTCTTTTATTTAATCTTTTTTTTTTTTGGATGGGGTATTGTTTTTGGTGTGTTTTTTCTTAGCATGGCAGATTTTTTTATTCAGGTTTTTAGAAATAGAGTCCATAGAAGGGCAACATCCCCTAAATGGGTACAGACTCTTAACCTCCTCTGCACATCAGGGAGGATGTTTACTTGCCTAATGGATGAGATTAACTGGTATCTGAGGTGTTTAAATCATTCCAGATAAATGTGCTGCTTGGACAAATACAAATTTTGTAAAATTGGAGTGTTTTTGTGAGTGTCTGTTGTGTGGGGACTTTGTGGAGAGAAATATCAGCTGTGCTGCTGCCATCAACACCCTTGTTTATAGATGTTGGAGATCGGCCTGTTTTTCCAGTGTAGTCCTGTTTCTCTGACTGTGACTGGTTGGATGTGCTCTCTTCATCCTCTGACATGGGAGTTGGCACGGAGCTTGTCTTGTATATCTCTGGTTCTGTCTCCTGAACCCCAGTCGGCCTCAGCAGATGGCCGCTCACACTAAGCCTGGTTCTCCTGGAGGTTTCTTCCTGTTAAAAGGGAGTTTTTCCTCTCCACTGTCGCTGCAAGCATGTTTAGTGTGAGGGA